GTGTGTGTGTGTGTGTGTGTGTGTGTGTGTGTGTGTGTGCTGTACCTGCCTCATAGACATTGCCTGTTCGGACTCTAATCGCCTGGAGAATTAGTGATGTGACTTGGCAGAGGGAGACAGGCACAGAACAGAGCCAGGGACAGCGCCTGAGAGAGGGATAGAAGAAGAAGAGAGCAGACAAAAAGAGGAGAGCGAGAGATAGAGGGGAAGCGAGAGGGGGAAACGCTTTTCCATCCGCTGCCGCCGCCGCCGCGTTCTGCGCTCAGAGACAGAGAGGACTGTGAAGATGGGGCAGGATAGGTTGTATGAAATGCTATTTTCCTAACAAATGGATGATTTGTCTTTTTTTCTTTTTCCCTGTCARGAAGGAAAACGGATTAATAACTCATCGTAAGAGTGTGTTGTGTGATTATTGCGGGTATGTGCGCGTACCTGTTCTGCATAAGGACACGAGTACAAATGTGTGTGTGTGCTTTTATGTAAGGAACAGCAGGCGAAAGCAAATGGTGAGTCCAGAATGACCTAAACGGGACACTTAACAAATTGAGACAAGCAGTTCGACCAACCAAATCCGCCCGCCGTCTTCGTTCGTTTGCGTCGATCTTTATGTTTGATTTAGCTTCATTCTTTTTTATTTTTATTTATTTTTTAATTTTCTCCTTCTCACCTCTGGTTTGCACCCTCCTCTTTGTCTCTTGTGCTTGTGAGAGCAACAGAGAGAGAGAAACTCATRGAACTAGGGCAGAGGAAAATATCTCAGAGCGCAGAGACAAAGAGGAAGCAAAGAGGCAGTGCAAATTCAAAACAGCCACCGACTTCATGTTCCGCGTGTCTTTGTGGGGTCGCATGTTTGTCTTGCGTCTATGCGCACCTGGACGGGGACAGGTTTTGTGAAGCCCGGGACATGTTCTCGACTGGRTTGTTGGCGGGTGATACAGATGTCACCTGGACAGGCTTTGAAAGTATTCGAACCCTGGTTTTTTGACGTCTTCTGTGTCAGACTTGTCTAACATGCATGTTGTCTGGGGAAAGAGGAAATCAGTGTGACTCTCTCAAAGCTGAACATCTTTGTCATGAGGGAGTGATTGCATAATCCTGAGATCACAGGGCCTGTAGGAAATATAAGACGACAGTGATGTCTGCAGCTGTCGATGTTGGATGTATGTGTTTGCAGCCTGAGCAACGAGTGCATCTAATATGCATATTCACGCCAAGCTCAACTTACGTTTCTTAAATCTTCAATTTCCAACTTAGWCATTAAATTTTCAGACGTCCCCTTTTGTATGGCTGGCATTTTCCCAGTGCTCGTCTGTCTGTCTACCGGCAGAGGGCATTTTTTTTTTTTGTGAACGTTTCACTTCGCAGACCTGCACTGAWTTACAGGCGTTGGCTATGTCAGGAGCGCAGACAATGGAAGGGCCTGGGAAAAAAAGGGCATTTCAATTAAAACTGCTTAAATTTCGAACTTTCACTGCCTTGTTCTCTCTTCGCAGGATGGAATCGAGTCGGGATCGTGTAGCCGTGACAAGACATGTCGGCAGTGCGTCATCGGTAAACGGTAAAATTTCCATGTCACGTCTTAGCTGTGTCTCRTTTTGGAGATTATTTCTCTCATACTGTGAGATGACGTGTTGTCGTTTTCTTCTGCAGGGACCGCCGCAGTTGTTTTAATGCCAAATTTCCTTTCCTGATGCAACCTGGGCTCAAACCTGCAGCCTCGGGATTACAAGACTGCAGCAACTGAGCACCAAGTAACCGCAGCCCTGCCGTGTATTAATACATATTTCAGATTTGATTCTTTTATGTTTTTAGGCTTACTGACTTTATTTAAAGTAACATCAGGATTGAACAGCTGGTTCCAAGACGCCCTGCTTTGGTGTGCTTCATTGTCCCTGAGACCCTTAACCTGTGATGATGTCAAAGGTCACAGGTGAGGTCCTTGGGAACAAAGGTTCATGCATTTGCTTCCAGAAGATAATTTTTTAAATATAATTTTGCCAAATCCTCTGTAGAACTTAAACTTGAAACTATAGCATTATTATTTCAGTCAATTTCTAGAAGTATTCCCACGTTATTAAAGACAGATGATGATTTTTTTTGGAGGGGGCAGCACCTTTTGGYTGGCTTTGTGCGTCGACTGCATCCACGTTTTACTTAAAAGACAGCTAAAGGTCGTGACCCCGATGGTGTGTTTCACGTCTGGATTCTTGCATCTGTTTAAAAAAGGGGGGACGATGACGTCACTCYGGACCTGCAGACATTTTGACAGAATCGGAGAATCCACTGCGGATGTTTTAAAGCCCCTCACTCTTATAGAAAGTCTCTGTAGATGTGAAATATTAAAAATTAAATCTGTGTTGTATTTGTCATTTTCATCCCTGACGTTTAAACATCAAGCCTTAAAAAAACACTTTATTTGATAAAATAATTAAAATCACAACTTTTGGGAGCTAAATAGTATTTTTTGGATGTTTCTWTTAATAGTTGCTAATAAATGTTCTATTTTTAACAATAAAGCTCTACTTGTCTTATTGATTGTCATCATTTCTTTAAAGGAATAAAGTATATAAAGTAAAAAACTATAATTCACATGAATTTGTATAAGTTTGGTCTCACTGAGTCTTGAGGGACAAATATGTAGTGTATTACTTTTTTTTCCTCTGCTCAACACTTTAAGATGAGATAAGTGCATCTGTGTCGTTAAGATCAACGTGTAATATTTGGCTCCTGCAGAGGAGACAAATAAAAGTTCTCTGGTGAATTAAAGGAGCATAATAAAGCCTTTCTGTCAGGCTCTCGCCCTGACACCCAGCCAGTGTGGCTCAGTGTTCCCTGGCTCTCAGCCCTGCGTGTATTTGTGCATCCCAGGACAGTTGACATTGATTGTTCAGGAGACAGACTGAGACACATTAGTACCCAGCTCGTTCCCGCTGCTGAAAAACACATTAACCGGCTGCATTGGGAGCCCTGTCTGGTAACCATGGCAAAGCCCACAGGCGGGGAGGAGGAGGGCTGGGATGGGGCAGCGGGTTCAGCGCTCCGTCTCTCAGGGACTGTCTTTCTCAAATGCTCCTTCCCTTTCCTCCGGCCACGTCTGTCATTGTCTCTCAGCTTCTCTTTCCCTCTTCTAAACTGACAGCCTTTCTCTCTCTTTTCTCACACATATAAACACATTTGCATATTTTCTTCTTCTTCTCCTGGATTCCTGTTTTTGATGCTGCTCCCAACCTTATACCCCTCAACCCCCTTATCTAAACGCCCCATGCAACATAATCTACTTCTCTCTGATTTGTCTATTTATGTATTTATTTATTATTCCTCCCAACAAATGTCTTTCCTTTTAGAAGAAAAGTTGAAAGACATGAGGAAAAAAGTGACAAACTAGATGGAAGTCTTACACTTTTTCCATTTAGTAACTGATTATTCGAGACATTTAAGAATAGTTGTACAGTAGCAGCCTTGGAAATAAGGAATGCTTCTAAAATTTTAGTAGAATTGATCACACAGTGATAAATAAAGTTTGGAGCAATGTAAAAATACACATAACCCCTAATTTTACCGTTTAATTAAACAAGTATAAAGAGTAATAATTATTTCCCTCGTTTTTTGTTTATAAATATAAGACTGAGAAGTTAAATATTTTACAGCTTTTTAAAAAAAATCTTTGTATTTTAATAAACCGTTACACCAGTTTTACATTTGTTATTTTTTAAACAAGTCAATAAAAAGGAAAAGTCTAATTTCCTTTATAAATATGAATATGTCGTTAAAATGACATGCCTGCGAGGTCTTAAAGTGAGTTGTGCATGAACAAAGTCTTGTAAACTTCAAAAAAACGAGAGAATAAAATGAATATTCCAAATTGAAGTACACAAAATGATTTTAAAATGACACTTTTTTCATTTTATTTTGTTGATTAAGCAAGTACAGGGTGTCCAACTATAGGCTATATCTACATTATTAACTATAGTATCCAAATAGTTATCTAAAAGAAAATATTTTCAAAGTCTATCATGAATATTAAAATTTAAAATAAACTTTGGTAGAGCAGCGTAGTGATTCAAAGTCTATTATGAATATTAATTTTTTTAATAAACTTGGGTGGAGATACGTAGTGAAGGTGGATAGCGGAACCAAAACGCTACACAGTGGTTTCCTCCACGGACAACCGGAAGTGGTCGCGAATTTGAACAGCCATCACAGCAACGCGCACTTTCACTTTACGGTAAGTCTGCGGAATAATAATAATAATAATAATAAAAAGACTAAAATATATTTTTAAAAACTACTGGTAATTACTTTAAGGGGAGACAAGTGCCCATTACTTACGGTGTTGTTTCCCTATCTCCGTTCACTGCTGTCGTTTCGGAAACTGACTAATACCTGGAAAACAATGTGATTCAAAGTCACAATAAATATCCAGGTCCTACACAATAAATAATACATTCCTCGTTTTTAAGTTGAACTTAACAATTCATGTACTATTTATTAAATACTCATGGATCCTGAAACGCTAACATTAGCTTGGTTTTGATGATGCATTGATGACAGGGGCGTTGGTAGACATAAAGCCATACCAGCCCAGTTACGTCCGTCATTAGTAGCCTGTATATAACCCAGTAAGTATCCTGTAAGTACTCTGTCATTACCTTCTATGTATATTTGCAAGTACCCCACAAGAGCGTTTTATGTACCCTTATAAGTACTCCTGCAAGTACTCTGTATGTTCCCCCAAAAGTACCCCACAAGTATTCTGTCATTTACACAGTATGTATTCCTGCAATTACCCTGCAAGTACTCAGTACCTGTAAGTGTAAGCACCCTGTTTGTCTCTAAATTAGCTGCCATCCCAAAAGTCTATAAATAAAAAGGGTATGATCATGACATGAGTTTTGTGCATAATATTAATAAGATGTCTGTGCACAATCCCACCTTTATAGGATTAGGACCAGTAAATAGACTGAGCCGTCTAATATCAAACCATTGACCAGTCATGACTCCAATGACACACATCTCAAGGGCGTGCAGTTGTTGTGGTTGTGACAAATTATTTTGTTTACTGACTACTTTAATTAAATTTATTATTTAGAAGCTATATAGCTGTCACAATATGTTTTTGGGGGTGCATAAACCATACTGCATGTTATAGAGACAACACTAAGACTCCTTATTTACATCTTGTAATCTATGAATTTACAAACAGTAAAAAGTTTAAATTATGACACCAAATATGGATTGGTTTAAAGATGAAAATGCACAGAAAAAGACTGCATGTGACATAAACAAACAGATTTATAATTATCTTTATTTTTCAGAGAACGATTTGACAGCTCGATTGAGCAAAATTTAGAAAGTATTGAACACTGGAAGACTCTTTAGTCATATTTTAAAAAACACAATATTTTCATAAAGTTCATGATCTTAAATAAAATTAAGGCTGTTAAATACTTTAAAATCACCTCATTTGAAAGTTTAAAAAAAGTTGCCACAAGAAACTTGCTACTTGTTTTCAAATAAACTGGGTTAGGTTGAAAATGACGAAACATCGCCCTCTACAGGACAAACGAGACTTTTAAGGTGGACTTTAAAGAGATGATTAAAAGACTGAATAAACAATGTGTACCTGCAATTTACAATAAAAATAGTATAAATTTATTACAAAACATTTAAAATGACTTACATATTTACACAAAATATTTGAGTAAGGTTTGGTTACACAATGAGCATTTAAAAAGTGATTATAAACCATCATTAAATTTTGATTAAACATTTTGTCTCCAGGTAACAGAGGGGTCCAAGCTGAAGGCAGCTGAATGGAGGAGACGAAAGTACGAGCAGCTAAGAAAAAACAAGACGCTATCATGAGCAAAGAAGAGGAAAYGAGTGTTGACGTCTCCAGCAACACTCTGGTTAAAAGAAAAAGAGGAAGGATGCCGAGTTCTAAGAAGTCCAAGGTACTTGTTACGGACATTCACCCGACTGCGCTGGATTCGGCCAAGTCCAACGGCGAGTCCGCGCAGCCTCGCAGAGGACGAGGACGTCCGAGACTCTCTGACGCAAAACAAACAGAGCAGCAAGGAGTAAGACCGAAAACGACTGCCGTGGTTCAGACGGCTGAAAACGTACTGAACGGCGGCTCCGATGCGCCTAAAAGAGGACGACCGAAAGAAACGATAAAGTGCAAGCCGGAGCGCTTAGCGAGTGGAGAGGAAGAAGAGGGCAGCCCTGTGACACCTCGGAAAAGAGGCCGACCAAAAAGGTCTCCCGATAAGGAGCCGAGGATAGAAAATACTGTGAGCAGTGAGGGGGACAGCGAAACCGATGGAAGCCAAAATTCAGTGGCAAGAGAAAGAGGACGGCCAAGGAAGCACACTGGGGAGGCATCAAGTGGCATTTCAGATCCTCCTCCGAGTAGAAGAGGTAGGCCAAGAAAATGTATTGAACAAAAAGAACTGGTTACAGAAGGCTCCCAGCCAGAGAGGAGGGGCAGAGGTCGGCCTAAAGGTTCTTTAAACAAGAGTAGGCTGCTCAATAAAGTAGGGCAGCTTCTTAAAGTGCCTGGTCTCCCTGCCAAAGGGAAGAAGCGTGGTCGACCTCGACAGCAACCGGCCAAAAGAGGAAGACCGAGGAAATACCCTACGCCACCACCCGAGGAGGTAAAGAAGCCCAAAGTGTGGAAGCCGCTGGGAAGGCCAAGAAAATATCCCCGCGTCGAAGCATCAGAGGAAGCTCTGCCGGCCCCTCGAAGAAGCCGCGGTCGGCCTTGCAAGTCGGACTCAAAGAAAGGCGCTCACCTGCGCAAAAACGCCCCTTCTGCTTTATCCGCACCRCGCGCCGACGGAGTTCAGAGGAAAAGGGGCCGTCCAGCGAGCGCCGCGAAGGGCGAGGGGGATGTCCCGAGGAAAAGGGGCCGTCCCAAAGGCTCGGTCAACAAAAACCGAGCCAGAAGTGTTTCACAGCTCGACAGCTTGCACTTGAAAGCAGAGAGCGATTTGCCTGCTGGTGGGGTGGAAAGTGAAGTCGGTTTTGATACGGAAATTATTCTTATCTGACATGAACGATACGAAAAAAAATAACTGTCCTCAACCAGGACGTGAGCTTGGTCCGGTCTGACCAAAACAATTAATGAAGTTGTTGCTGTTGAAACATAGCATACATAACAGGTTTTTATCGTTTTAACAGTTTGCTAGTCTAGGAATTTATCAGCTTTCTTCTTTTTCTGACTAACTTGCTCAGTTTGTTTTCATCATGCATGTTTTTAACTCTTTRATTGTCTCATCAGAGTAAACAGGATCATCTTAACATGATCTAACGAACTCAGAGTTTATCCTTTAATTTGGAGAAACTCCAGCTTTTYGGTTCTAGAAACACTGATTACATCGAGGTTAAATGACTGTGAGTTTGTTAAAAAGAAAAGAAAAAATAAAGAAAGAGAAAATACCTCTTAAACTCTTTTCTGGGCCAATATTTTCTATCTAGATAATCTCTAAAATCAATGTTCCCATCCTCATCACTGAATGGGTTTATAAAGATGAAAGGTTTTGTAAATTTTCATACAGGTTTCCATCAAGTGACTTCATTTCCCCCCCTTTTTTTTTTTAGCTTTTCCTCAATTTGTGGCAAATTTGCATGAGTTTTGTGTGCAATGTGTCGTTTCCTTTGCTCTAAAGTGGTAACAAAAAATTTAGTCTGTTTTAAGACAAAGTGATTCAAATATGAGAAATAGTTCAAAGAGAATACTGACTAAACTCAGTTGTAAAAACAAAAATAATAATGTACCACAGCTCAATTTGTTATCAGCCAGATGTTTGTATGGCTCTTATTTTTAGTTAATTTAAATGTAAACTTTTTTTTTGAGAATATTTCTCTAAGGAGTGCCCGGGCCTTCCGCTCTGAGTCAGAACTTTTGCCCTTTTTTTTTCTATATTTTGCTTGTGTTGTGTAATTGTAATGTGTTGTAGTTTTTCTCCGAAGTTATTAACTCATTTTTTATCAGCCTTAACGTCAAAGCTTTGAATGTACCATCAATAGATTAACTGTTCATGAAACACATTCCTGCACAGGACACTATGTTAGAAATTAATTTTTCTCCTTCCTGTWGTTTCCTCCTCAGTGCATTTGTCTCTGCTCTTCATATGTCACTCTAATTTTAAAGATTTTCTTAGTTGTGCAGACGTAATGTTTTAGTGATGATTGGTTTTACCAACACTGATTATTCTAAGCACCTTGTACAGCAWATACCATTATTACTAACAACTTTGTGAATCAAAGACAGGATTGAAGTTTACACATTAATGTAATTTGCCTTGGCTTTGTGAAGTCAAATCACTAAGTGATATTTGCATTTTTGTGTTTTGAACAAGAGGCCAAAAATTAGCTGAACTGAAATAAAATGTTGCCATTTTAATCACGTTTTTTGCTTGATATTTTATTTTCTGTTCCTGTTTATATTTTATTCTAACAATAACTATAATATAATAAGTTTTGACAGTTAATTGGGGCCAACACTTAGTACTGTTGTTTATTTTGTCCTTAGCTCCACCCTCACCTGTTTGTGACTTCACCGATAGACTTGCTCTTCCAGCAAAGGTCGTGTGTTCCGACAGACGACTCACTCCCTTAAGTCCAATCTTCAACTGAATCGAATTCAGATCTACGAGTTGAGATTTTCAGAGAGCATTCATTTAGTGATTGATTGTTTGAAAATAATATATTTTAAATGTTTGGATGAGTTTTGAATCAGTTTTTATAAAACCGACTTTGGATCTATTTATTCGTACTTTCCAGTTTTGTTGGTTGACGGTGGACTACAAAAACGTCCTTACGTCAGARTTGATGGCGAAACGTAACGCGGAGTGATACGTCTTCACTGTTAGCATGTCCTCTGAGATTGGTTCAACTTTCCAACACCTTGACAGGTAACTTTAAGCTGCCATTCGGAGGAAAACAACTAAATCAACTACGCAAACACAACTCTGTGATGTTTCAAGTGATGTGAGTCAATTAAAACCAGGTATGTTAACTTTTTAGCTTAAAAAAATCTGTTTTTGTGTCGGAGGGTTTAGAAACACGCGAGTTAAAAAAGTTTAGCGTCGAAACTACATTTCCGTCTGACGAAAAAGGCCTCACCAGTCACCCTGCAAACTCTAATGGAGTATAAAAGAAGATAATAACTAATAAATAACCTTTTAAAACTTTTTTTGCCTTTTAAAACTTAGTCCCTCACAGCAACTTAAAAAGTTTAAATCGAAAACATTGCAGACCCTGTTGGTTATTTMTAACAGGGAGTGCTTGTATTTAGAATATTTTGTAATTAAATTATAGTAAGTGTAACTTTAAACCACTTATGTACAAAACAAGTATTAAAAAACTATTGAAGGTTGTTTTTTTAAAGTGTTTAGACATTTTATACATTTTTAACCACTGRGTGCTTGTTAGGAGTTTTTGATAATGAAATAAAAAAAAATTCATTGTGCCCTAAAGTACTTTTATTTAGTTATTTTTTCTCATTAGATAACTAAAATAAGCACATTATCATATGTTAATGATTTCTCATGATTAATAATCCTAATGTATCCTGTGTATGTACCCTTGTGTTTTTGTTATCTTCATTAATAGACTCATATGTTATTATTATATAAACATGCTGTTGTTCAAAGCACTTCAGAAAGTCAAACGTGTTGTTTAAACTGTGAGGGACAGGACAGGTCCTGCAGGACAAACACACCCATGATAAACAGTGAACTTTGATGTGTGTTTTTTTTTTTTTAAAGTGAAACTGCCCATCATGTGTGAACATGCTTCTGACATGTCTCTCCTCTTTACAGGATCCAAACATGGCCTTCATTTGTTGGAGGACAAGTTTCTTGCAGTGAAGTTCTGGGCGTTTGTAGGTGTTTTTTTGACTGAAAATAAAGAACTCCACACCCTGAAGAATGTCTGACCAAGGTGACTTAACCACGGCTTCAAACGGGGAGGTGGCTGGTCGAACTGCACGGCCACAAACGGCAGAGACTAAGAAGCTACAGGACAGCAGCAGTGAGGAGGAGAGAAGGGAGAGTGTAGATGATGATGATGATGAAGAAGAAAACGAGGAGGAAGAGGAGGAGGAGGATGTGAGAACCCCTGCTCACCTGGAGCCCAGCACTTTGCCGTGGCCGGGAGACCAAAAAAAGAAGCTCCTGTCGGACGAGGACGCTTCGGGGTCTGAGGAGAGGGACACGGGGATCAGCAGGGGGAGTCAGGACCTGTCGGAGGAGCAGAGCCAGGCGGAGGGAGACGTCAGGAGCAAATCCAAATGGAGGGAGAGCATGCCTGAAGGTGAGAGGTGGAGGGACGATGACGTCCAGGTGGAGCAGAAAGATAAAGGTGATGGATCACTTGCGGACGATGAGGAGGAGAAGGATRAGGAGTGGCCCTCAGAGAAACACTCCTTGGGTTTCACTCCACATGTAGAGATTTTGTGTCCAACCAGTAAAGATTCTCCTGAGGAGGACCAGTACTTCAGGGAGGAGGCGCTGAGAGAGGAGCAGAGGGAGGCGCTGATGGAGCACAACATGGCTGCACAGTTTTACCCCGAGTGGGAAGAACAGGATAAGTACTGTGAGTTTCCACCACAAAGTGGATCCATATTTATAAAATAAAAACATCTCGTTCTGATTTCATTAAACTGTAAATATTCAGTCCAGTTTTTTAATGTTTTATTTTTATTTAGAAACATCCTGAAGCCCGCTGAATGTTTGTTCCCTCAGATCTGTGCGAGGACCTCTGCAGCGAGAAACTGAGGCTGGTTTTGTCCACGGCGGCTGCGGGGCTACTCTTCCCCCTGCTGGTGTGGGGGGGTCACGCCCTGCTTCCCTTCGAGTCGCCGCCGCTGCCGAGCGCCCCGCTCCGGGTCGCGTACACGCTTCGCTGCTCCTTCTTCGCCACCATCCCCATCCTGCTCGGTGAGCCCCCCCCCCCACCCTCCTGTGCTCTGTTTTCCCCCCCGGTGAGGGAGCCGTGTGACGGCGGGTTGTGTCTGCTTGCAGGTGTGTTGGTGCAGGGCGTGGCCCGGCTGCGTTTCGGCGCCCTGAAGCCGCTCTATCAGCACGAGGTGGTGAACAAGGAAGTGGCGGTTCACTGGCACTACGTCAACGAATCGTTGGCGCTCTTTCTCTTCTACTTCCTGCAGCTGGCCGTCCTGGCAACCTACATCAACCAGGACCTGGTTAAACTGGTGCCACTGCTCACCATCGTATTCGTTTTTGGCAGGTATGTGAATAAGCTCTTCTTAAACACTTTAGTGCACAAGAAGGAAAAAGAAGCACTTTGTTTTTTTTCTTTATATAAGTGTTGGTTTTATATTAGAGTTGGATGTTTTATTTTAAAAGTGGCAAAAGATTACGAACATTCAGTAAACACAGGATGTGGTAATCCCACAAGTGCTGGACTTTTGAACCAAGGTTATAATAGTTTGTCATTATAGTTTAGTTTTATTTCGTCAAGACTTTTTTCTTTTAATTCAGTTAGTTTTTAGTTTTTACGGTGGATTTGCTAGTTTTTATTAGTTATTATTGCATTTTTAATGTTTAGTTTTAGTTTTAATTAGTTCTAGTATTAGTTTTAATAGTTTTTTTGCCAATGCATCCTCAAGCTTGTGATGTTCCTGGGAGTTAACTAACCAACAGATATTTAGTCACTAGTTAAAGCAGTCCATTATAGCGACACCTTCCTAAAATAATTGCCTAACTCAGTTTAGCCAACTAAAAACTTGGATGATTATTTTAGTTGTCTCCAACACGGTGCTGCTGCTTGTTTTTCACAGGAACTACTGAGAAAAGCTAGCGTGTCAAGATAGTCGTAGTTAGCATCTTGTGTGCGCTTGATTCATGCAGTTCTTCCCTTGAGGAGTTTTCCACCTGTTTTATCACCTGATTCCACTACAAGACGCTTTGATTTTTCTCGCATCATATTCAAAGAAATCCCAAAGTGGACGTTGACGCTTACTCCCAACTTTTGTTGTCGTCATTTATCAGACCATGCTGAGCAGCAGACTGTAAACAAGTGTTACAAATCACAGCTAATGTGAAACTACTCAATTAAAAAGAAAAAAAAAAGATCCAAATGTCTCAAAATAAACTGACAAAAACTACAACTAAGGATATTCTATAATTTCAGTTAGTTTTAGTTAGTTTTGTAAAAAGATTTAGTTATTGTTTTTTCATTTTATTAGTGTTTATTTCAGTTAACTAAAATGTTTTTTCAACTTCCGTTTTCGTTATTTAGCTAGTTTTAGTTAACTATAATTACCCTGTTTGGAACAGGTGTAAATGTTAGCAGCAGCGTTTGATTTGATTCAAGTCAAAAACACAAAATCAGAAACTTATTTAAATTTGTAATCACCAAAAAGCAAGAAATAGTGGTGTATTTCATAACAAAAGATTAGAATGATGCAATAATCACTGCTTGACAATAAAATATTTATACATAGTTGCTCTGTGACTCTGGTGCTGTGAAGGAAATGCACAACTTTATTAGTCAAACAAATCAACCCGTTCCTCTTTTGGCAGGGAGTTCACAAAGCGTTTATCAGCCCTTTAAAACCATGACTCAGCACTTCAAAATGTCAGCCCGCTCAGGTCCAATAAGTAAAACTTCCCTCTGAAGTCTCTGTGAACCTCGCTGCTGTCAGTGAAAGTTTATTTGTTCTTTCACAAACAAAACTTCAAATCTGCAAACATGACCCGGCGCGAAAAGAACAGTTCAAACCACAAGTGATCCAAACAAGTCTGCGCTGAAACCAAAGGTTGCAAACCTCGCACGGTGAACGTCCAACCCTTTTTGTTTAACCGGAACATACCGGTTGTGGTGTGTCATGTTCGTCATGCATGTTGACAGACAAGAACTTGAAACATGTCTGCCTTTATTGTTCTTTTCTGCACAGGGTTTTTTATTTTTTTTTACTGACTTGAGCTTCTTTTCTCTTATTTGTCAGTTTAGTAAACTTAAACTAGAGATAAACCAGTGTGGTGTCGACACGTAATCAACAAGTTAATTTATTAATTCTTTGTTACCAACATCTTGTCACAAATACCCCATTTGTTTATGTTTTTTAGTTTAATGAAAAAAAAAGTAACACAGTTTGACAAACATTAATCTCTAACTTCTTCTCTTCAGGCTCATCTACTGGGTCTGCCTCGCTCTGAACAGCACCGTCCGAGGCTTCGGCTTCGGCCTCTCCTTCTTCCCCATACTCGTCATGCTGRGCGCCAACCTCTACTACGTGTGCTCATCGGTCGGGCAGGGCTCCGTTTTCGACGTGGCGCCCCCCGCGACGCAACCCCCTCCCCGGCTGCGCTGGTGGTTTTAAAGCAGAAATAATTTTTTAAAAAGGTGGAGAGGAGAAGCCAGACGACACATCCCACTCAGGCATCATTTGTCCATTTAGGTATCTTTTACCTTTTTTTTTTTTATTAAAGTCGTAATCCTGAAGATTTCTGGCCTAATTAAAAACGATTGGCATTGCAAAGGCTTGCACAGTTCATTTGTTTACAATGCTGCAGAACAAACTAAGATTTTAGAGAATTTCTTCATAACTGGAACGAACAATAATAATACAAACTACTTGTTTTGGATTAGATTATATGTTTTGATTTAATTTTAAATAGATTAGCACTGCCAACAACTTTCATATTACTATTTTATTTCATCAACAACTTAAAGAACAGATAAATCAATATAAAACTGATTTTGGGAACTTCTAAAGCTCAAATCTTTCAGGCATTAAAACAAAAAGTTTTCGCATCTTAAAGTTTAAAATCTTAAGTCTACATCACATGAAATAACTCTTGTAATCATGGAAACTAAAGCTGCACAAATGTGCCTTAATTTTTTTTGTCCTCATAAGTATTTATTAATTTTGTGCCAATAAACACTTTAAATTTCTTTTTTGTTTTGTTTGGATTTGACGAGTTAGTTTGTCACAGAGTCTGACGTAAAGACAAAACTTTCACATAAAGCACAACATCCAGTCAACCTCGTTTTAAAATATTTGCTGATTTATTTCCAATGGACATTCACCTAAAATATATATTTTATTTGAACAATAAAAAAAATATCAACTGTTGCATCATGTTTCACAGATGAACACTCACGTGAGATTTGAGAAAAACAAAATGTAATTGGTGTTTTTGTTCCAGAATGAATTAAACGATTTTTTTCTTGATTATGGGAAAAAAAAACAATATTTGAGGGATTTCTTTTTTGTCTTTGTTTTATTTTTTATCTCAGTTGTTTCGAGTGAAAATCTTTTAAACTTATTGTTTAACTGAACCATTATTTACTTTTGTTGTTTTTATTGATTAAAAGCTTCATAAACGGTTGTGCTGTTTTGGAAAAATCTTTCTGTTGAAGGATTTCTGTAGAGATGATCAATAAAACTGTGAGTTTAATAAACGTTTTCTGAAACAGGATTCATTTAAATAATCGGAGGGGGTATTGATTTTCTGTCCTGTTCAGATGAGATGTAAAAGAACAAAGTTAAAGAGATGAGTTTTTTTGGACGTGAAGCAAGTTAGAACAAATTCAGAAGAGAAAAATGCTGTCAGGCATGAAGAGTGATACAAGTGAAGAAGTAAACACCTGAAGGGGTTTGACAAAACTAAATGTTACTTCACTTTTTTCAGTTACAGTGCTTCAGAGATTATTTCATGACAAAAGTACAAAATAAAACCTAGATTTTTTTTGTGGAAATTGCAGATTTGAGGGTCAAGTAGTTAACACTCAAAAGGGTTGTTTCAAATGATTATATTAACTKTTTTAATTGGAAAACCTAGTTTCTAAAGTTAAAATAACAAAGACAAAACTATTTAATTTAGTGTTTGAATATATGAAAATCAGCAGTGAAGTTAAAAAAACTGCACAAGGGGGGGCCACCTGAAATTTTACCCGGGGGGGCCAAATTGGCTGGAGCCGGCCCTGGTTGTAACGTGCCAAAATGTGGGAAAATCCTTCGTTTTTTTCATCGTTTCAGACCCGTAGAGGTCACAAGTGATGAGCTAAATTTAAACAGTCTAGTTATCGCCGCCGGAGCTGTGAAACGAGGTGTCATTGCATGTCTTCGTGACAGTGAGCCGGAGGCATTGCAACGTTTTATTTTATTATTTTTTTTACTGACTCAGTTACTGTGAGCAGACAAATAAAACCACAAGATTCTGTTCAGTTTCACTCAATTTGTCTATTTAATATATAAAATACGGTAAAACATACGCAAAAAGGATAAGGTTTCAAGGGACTTGGATACTTTGGTACAACAAACACTTTTTTTTTGTAAAAGCGGTATAGAATTTTAATAACATCAGTGCATACTTTGTATATGAAAATATACACAAATTGTATATCATTCTCCAAACAAACAAACAAAAAAAGAACAAAAAGAAATATTTTCTTTACAATAAAACCCAAAGCAGACCAGCTCGACACAATATATTAGCTATAAATTTCATCTTTAGTATTTCATATGCTACATTATTATGAGTCGTTTAAACTCACTGTGATGCATGTCCTTACCATTACTGTACGTAACATAAGCTTAGTTGTTACCTGTGTCCCATGCATTTACTTTTTTAATTTCATGATCTACTAATTTTCATCGTTTCCCATTTTTTTATAAATATATTCTATGACTTAATTAAAACTGCAGCATTTAACTGGTATTTCCTTCATTGCATTTGCTAATACCACAATAACTGATCGTGCAATTTTCAGCAAGTTGTCTTTAAAAAAAACAAAAAGAAAGGAAACCAGTACTATGTTTATGATAAGGAAGATAAAAAGAACGAAAAAATAAAAACAAGTTGGCCATACTACACAAAAAAATAGCAATAAAATAAAAGCTCCAGATTAATATCATCATAATAATAACAGACATCGGAAACTGTCACCAGCACAAATTAATTCCAAAAATAGTGAGATCCTAAAAAACATCGTCTACAACGAGTAACAGGGGTGCAGGTTTTCTCGTGTTGCTCATATAGATTGTCTCGTGACTACACTGCAAGATTGGACAGAGAACCTTTTTGTACATTGACCCAAAGTCCAAAAAAAAATAAATAAAAAATAAGAAAATTCGGTGTGGTGTCACATTTCAGCCCAATGGTCAGCGCCCACAAAGAGATGCGGTGAAAATGAAGGAAAACAGCGTGGACGATTATAATCATCAGATTTATGGTGCTTTTTGTTTTGTTTTAGCTGAGCACAGAAGCAGGTCCGACCTCACAACCAGCACCTCTGAAGCTACTTCACCTCATAAAAAGGGGGATTTGTTTCTAATGGGTTAAACGTTTCAGAGTAACTCACGGCACGTTTGAGTCTTAGTGGTGTAAAAATAAATAATGTGAAGATGCAGCTCAGTGGTTAGAGTCCAGCAGTGTGAAGTCAACAAGCTTGAAGTGTCGCTGGGCAAGAAACTGAACACCTCGATGCTCCTGATGTGCACCATCGGTGTATGAATGTGATTTAAAAGTCTCTATAGAAAGATTTATTCAGATTAGCTTTGTGGGGATGTAGCAGTGTGAGTGAACATTGAGTTTTGACACATTTATGACCCRTTATTTTTATTTCCCACACTTCACATTCATGGTACCACGTTTTCTGGCTCCCTGTTCAGGGTGTACACCTCCTGCGTGGAGCAGCAGGTAAGAACTGACATTATTTCTCAAAGTAAGCTTAGCTTCACAGGTGCTGGTGTGTTTCAGCCGTTATCTCTGGTCAGATCAGACTKAGCCTTCTCCTGTTCATGTCTGAAAGGTTAGGTGTAGAAGTCTGGTTGCTTTTGACGCATCTGACTGAAACACGGCGGTCCTAATCTGATCTGAGATCTTGATCAGATAATGCTGTGCTTAAAATGTGTCACCCCGGCTTAACAAAAGTCGCTCCAGCTCGAGGTCGTTACAAACGCCGGTTCGCGAGCTGCACCTGAGTGCACCGAAATGCATCTGTTTATTAAGCAGCGCCTCACTTGCACAAACTCAGAAGCATCAACGGCGTCATCCCAAACCAAAATAATAATAATAATAATAATTTTAAAAAAAGCAGCTGAGAGAAACCTTTCTAAAAAACGTGACCTGGATTCACACAGACTTGAAATGTTTCAAACAAAAACTGAAACCAAACTGAAAGAGGAAAACGAGCAACATTTTGTTTCTGCTTAATGTGGAAAAGATTTCACATGATACACTCAATTTAAAGTGTGTTATATCTCTATTACTACACTATAAGTGAATGGCAGTGTCCTAATAATAATAACATTAGTAATAATGAGTTCACATCACCGCGTACAATTTACCTTCAATTGTGGGTTTTTATTTTTAAAAAAATGTGTGGCAAGAGAATATGACGACACCACGACCAGGCAGGCCTTCTGTGAGTGTAACAAAGTGCACACACCATCAACACTAGAATAAAATAGGATTACTGAAACTAGTCTGACCCGCCGGCATTACAGAGTGTGGCGGTAAGCCCTGCACCGTAGCTCAAAACATTATCAAAGTCACACTCATATATGCAAACAGATCCACTGAGAATCAACACATTGCTTGATTTTTTTTCTTCTTTTTTTAGGGATACCTGGCAAATTCTATGCAAATATATTCATATGTACATACACGTCGTTGAAGCCGAAAAGCTAGTTTAACTTTGTCGCCAACTTGAAGCGGTAGAAATATAAAAAAATTATTTTTTTTCCTTTAACTTTTTTCAAAACACAGCAAAGAGCTAAGGAGAGATATAGAGAGCTAAAGAGGACATCAAAGCTTTTTGTATAAGGAGTGATTTTTATACAAAGTCAGATTTCTCTACTTGTGGACGACTAACGGACCTTCAAAACAGTTTTTTTTTAAATACCAACAGATAAAAACACTTGGACTGAAATAACCAAACACTTCCCTAGTGAATTAAAACAAAAACCAAAATAAAAGAGGCTCATAAAGTTCCTATATGTCTAACTGGATGGCATCTACTCCTGCTGATAAACTCAGTGACTGGATGGATTTCAACTATTTCCATCCGTGCTTCGAAGGATGAGGAGGAGCACGCAGTCTTTAAATAAATTCTAGTTCTGAACGTTTCTGTCAGTGTCCCTGCACTGCGAGCGAGAGGCATTTGGCATTTTTATTTTATCTTGAAGAGAAGCTGATATTGGCACTCGGGCAGGGTGCTGGACTCCACCTGAGGGCTCGGGTTCTGCCTCGTTGCATGAAGTCTGTGACTATGGCAGCACTGTTCTTACCAACAACAACAAAAATAAGAAATAAAAATAAAAAAAAGACGCTGTTTGAGTCTGTTAAGTGCGAAGTAGATGCTCAGTTTCTCAAACTTTGTCCAGGTGACGTTATCTCCAGTGGTGAGGCTCGGAATAATCGAACAGCACACGAACAAACAAATAAACAAAAAAAAAAGGCGTTAAAGAACGACAGGAAGCGGCGAGTCATGCAGTAATGTCAGGGAGCAGACGCTGTAAACGATGTGAATGCTCCGTGTAAATCCAAGGTGATGCAAAAACCGTATGAAAATGGTTTCATCAAGTTGCAAAAAAAAAAAGTCAGAACAAACGAATCCATTCAAGCAAGAAGGCTTTAAAATCTACTGTCCTTCTAAATGAGGAGCAAATCCAGTCGAGCTCTAAGTCAATTAATTTGACTTCCTGACTGTGTTTGTTGGGAAAGCCCTGTAAGTCTGAGTGACATGGAGAATACGGGGAGGACAGATCTGATGATAGTGTCACATGGCAGTGGGGTCAGGACAGTGTGGTGGGCTAACAATGAGGGGGGTGTTTAAGTGTTTAATAGTCACCAAAACTTCACTGTGGCTGCAGTTTATGTAACCCAGGCGTCCAACCTCATGCGTTTTATGTTCCCTCCGTCCTGCTCCGGTTCGTTCGACACYCTAAGGAGCTCGGCGCCCGTGCCGCCTCCTCCTCCTCCGCCGCCGCCGCCGCCTGCAGCCCCGGCGTCATCCCGATCGCTGCCTTCGAAGGAGCTGGCGTTGCTGCTCACGCTGTCCGCAGGGGAGCGGCCGGTYGGGGGCTCCAGGCACAACAAGGAGCCGGGGTACTGCGGTTGGGCGGTCAGGATGGCTCCGCCYACTGTCGAGGACGGCGTGGTAGAAGACGGAGGATGAGGAGGGGGGCAGGGGGTGCTGCGGTCCCGGCCGGGCGAGACGGGCTCCGACTTGATGCTCACGCTGGAGCTGGTGTTGACGGTCAGCATGGYGCCTTGAGGTATGTTGGTCACCGGCCTGGGAACAGGATCACAGAGGCGGTGAGGAGTGGGACACGTAAATTACAAGCTAATAAACAAACGGATCAGAACTCCAAGACAAAACCCAACATAACAGAGCACAGCACCGACAGAGAAAAGCCACACTTGAGTTTTCAAAAACAGTCTTTTCTGAGCCTTTTAAAAGCAGAAGAAACTCCCCTACTGCTCCCAAAGGATCAAAAGATCGGCTGAAGAAGCGTGAAATGATTTGGTGACAGGGCGGTTTGCAGTGAGTCAGCTATGGTGTGAAGAAACTTAAAATAAAAAAACAAACAAATAAAGAAAAAAACCACGTCTGAAACCGGAATTACGTCGACGTTTCCTGTTTGGCAGCGGGCATGCTCAGAGGGAGGCAGCCAAAAAAGCAAACAGACACACATGGAAAAAGGAAGTGTGATACAGTACCGGCCCAACCACTCATCTCTACCCAAGAGCAGGTTGGACGGAGAGCCAACACTGTGGGAAGAAAACAAAACGTTGGAGCCCAAAACCCAAAGAGAACAGGTGGATTAGAAGGCATGTGAGGAGAAAAGTGTGAATCATTATCGCAGGCAAACATCATTTAGATTACCCCACTTTTCCCTACAAACAACAGCAATAATATATATATTTTTTTTGCATCAGAGAGACACGCTTTGCTTGCAGCACACTAACAACAACAAAAACAAATAAATCAAACTGTTAATAAAACGGTAATCAGAACTTTGAGACCCTAAAGAACAAAAAAATCTGTCATGAAGTAAAAGCAAAATAAAAACATTTTGCCCAGTGTTAAAAAAAAGTTACAGAAAAGCACAGCAAGGAAGGAAATTCAGGCGCGACTGAAACTTTCAATAGTGGCAGGAAAAATATTTCTTTAAAAACTACAATTTATTTTATATGCCAGTTGGATGCCAAAATATTGATGGATATAAAAGCAGTATTAGTGCAGATGTATTACGTAATATAGCTCGAAATATTGGCTAAACTTGTAAATCAAATATGAGTAAAAATGTCTTGCTCCTCCGCTCCAACACCMGATTTAGTGACTGAATTAGAGCTGCACGATATATCCTTTAATATTGCAGGTCCTGCCAAGTCAATGTGTTAACTCAGGACTAAACCAACAAACTATGAGTCAATGCACTAAATGGTTGCGTGTTACGGCTTTTATTTTGAYGGGTCAAAAAAGAGAAAACTTTCATTTTGTTGTGAAACTTTTGGAACAATAAAGGCAACGTTTTTCAGAGAAGTGTCSGTGAATTCTCGATTTGTGAAGGAGGATGACAGGGATCTTGACGAAAAAGTCGCAGAGAACTGGAGGAACAGAGTTCAAATACAGCTAGCATGAATGCTAATATTAAAGCGTGACGAAAACAGGAAGTAAGACGAAGAAGCAACAACATTAGGTGGAAGGTAACAGGTAGTCAAGTCCTAGCACAATAAAAGCCAATAAAAAGATAAAAAATAACTTAAATATACGCACAAAAGAGGTAAGATTGTAAACAAGGTGGCAGCAGAACTTAAAGTAAAATTCAAGTCATTTGTTGAAAATTCCTGTATTTTTTTTAATATCGTAATATAAAAAATAAATCAGAATGTCAGTTTTTTTCCAATATTGTGCAGCGATAGACTGAATCAAATCTTAAAGTTCTGCAAAAGTCTGTTAATCACCCGGTCCTGCAGACCAGGGGTCGGATTTATAAAACTTGCGTACGCACAAAACGAGCCCAGAAACTTGCGTACGCCACTTTTCATGCCATGGTTGTGATTTATAAAATCCAAACTTGATGTGAAAATGTGCAGTGCCTCACGCCAGCTCTGACCCATGCGTACGCTCATTTTAGAGATGGGAAACTGCGACACAGATGGTGAAGTGAGGAATTAGAGCCACACTGTGTAATGATCACTGTCAGGTATTTAATTTCACTTCATAATYAGACTTAGATTTTTATTCAGCTTTATCATCAGCTTTTTTAACAATAATATTTATGCTTCTGCAGCTGAGCCACGAGGACCTTTGAAATAAAAAAAATCTTAAATAAAAGTTCATCTCCTTCCTCCTCAGACGACCCTGACCCACAGAGCCCTCCCCGACAAGAGACATTTCAACAGCACGACAGCAAAAAGCTCGGTTATAGTCACACTTTGGGTGTGCGCGCCCTCGCCAGCGTGGATGTGTTATAAAAGATTCACTTTTTAATCACCGTATTTCTCACACACGCGCAGGGTGGGGGGTGAGGAGACGGTCAGGGGCAGATAACAGCAGGCAGGAGGGGGAGGACGGGGGAGAAGAGCGGTGAACTTAACTTTATCTGACTTATTTAATTTTATTTAATGTTTTTATCGTCCTGCAGGCTCTGAGAGAAATTTAATTTGAAGCTGAGTTTTTGATAAAAATCATTAGATTGCTCTAAGTGTCTGTAAACCTGCAAAATGAGGGAAAATCTGTGTTAATTACAGACATTCTGTTCACGTGAGCAGTTGTCAGCACCTGTCAACCTCCAGACGCATGACGGAGCGTGTCTGAGCCAATCACTTATCAGCTGACTGATTTAAATACATCTTAACATTCATGAGGTACTTTACATTGACTGTTTATGGTTGAGTGTGGGCGTGTAGAGGGTAGAACCTGAAGAGGGACCTCGTGCGCAAACTCTGAAGTGCAGCTGTGAACTATAAAGGGAAGGTGCGCAGAAACGTGCGTACGCACGGTTTTATAAATCTGAATTTTTTTTGGCGTACGCCATTTCCGCCTTTTGGCCGTACGTTCACTTTTAGTATGGTTTCCACGCAGTCTTTTATAAATCTGACCCCAGGTGTGTTGGAACAGAGAAGTAAAACGTGCAGGATGGTGGCCCCTCGAGGACCAGGGTTGGATACTCCTGCGTTACAAGGTACGACTCTTAAAGTAAAGCAGACACACTTGCCGACGAGGTCACAACATGTCACACACACTACCAGTGGCCGTTCACCTCAGATTGGCTGCCAGACTGGACACTTGGCTAGACAGCTCGCTGCTCTGTTTGTCCACACCCCACATGCTGTGGACAAGAGGAGAGAGTAAACTTCAAGGAGCTTGACCCAAAAAAAACCTCAGAGCGATTTAGTCACACTGATTTAAAAAAAAAAAAGCCACAAATCTAATACTTTTCAGTGCTCTTCAATAAAATCTTGTAAGGAGGAAGGAAAAAGTGAAAACCTCTGCTTTAGTTTAACAAGAACATTCTCGCTGCTTTCCCCATCTGCAGAAAATCACCACCAGTTTAAATTAGGGGAAGTTACTGTACTCCGCTGGCTGGGACTTTTATTCAAGGAGAAAGTTCATTAAGACTGAATTAATCCCGACCGTCTTTGCAGAATGGGACACAGGTGTGAACATCATAAAAGACATAAATAATGTCACAGGCTGAAATGCTCCAACCAAGAGTGACAGCTCAGGGTTTATGACTGTTTTAATAAAAAGAAGCTCATTTTTTAATTAATGCTGGTCTTTAGAGCTTTCAGTGGGATCATAAACACGGTCCTGGTTCAACTTTAGATATTAGATTTAGTTTCTTTTTTTAGATTTTTACATTTCTTTATCCACTTTCCACATAGTGGAGCAGAAACTACACAATATGCTAACATGAGGTCCAGAGTCAGGAAGGATAATAAAGAACTAGAAGGTGGTTTAAACCTGTTGCAAAGCACTTTTTTGATTCACTTTTAACATTTAAACTACGATATTAAGGAGAAATAATTACAGCCAGTGATGATGCAATGTACCCTCACTGTTTAAAGACTAAAGAATGATCAAATCAAACCTTGAATTTTTGTGTATATGGCACATTAAACAGTCACATTAAAGTGATTTTTTGTGACTTTCTGTAGTACTTTCTTAAAAACAATAAATCTAGTTTTGTGATGAAAGATATTTTAACTAATGCAATAATTATGTTACATTTCAGAGAAAACGAGCCACATCTATCCTTCCAAAACGATTTCTGCGAACCGACTCAACAGCAGAAAACTGTTCAGATAGATGTAATGAAAAGGCTGAGATGGTGAGATGCTGGTGAGCAACCAGTTCACTAAAGAGGAAGCAAACTTGCTTGCATTTGAGGTTATGGTATGTAAAATCATGCAAGCGACTGGGGACGGTCAGTATGTCGGCTTTAAGGATGACATGGTCCTCTCGCACTGTAGGTTTGAGCCAGGAAAAAAAAGGTTAGGAAGACTTACACCAAGTTGCTGAGAGATGCCAGATTGAGATACTGCTGCTGTTGCGTTTGCTGTTGTTGTTGTTGTTGAGGCTGCTGCTGGGAAACGGCCTGCTGCTGTTGCCACGTGGTGGGCAGCAAGCCACCGGGCGACGCCAGGGCGTGCAGAGCAGTGATGTCTGCGCTGGTCAGCTGATAATCTGAGGGACAGATCGGACAAAAGGTTACAAAGAAATAGGGAATATACAGCGGGTAAAATAGGTATTGAACACATCACCATTTTTCTCAGTAAATACATTACTAGAGGTGCTAATGACATGAAATTTTCACCAGATGTCGATAACAACCCAAGAGATCCATACATATAAAGAAATCAAACCATAAATGTCCCCGCGCGCTGCGCGGTCRCAGGTGGTCTCAGATGCGGGTTTGAAATACAGTGGTTTGCAAAAGTATTCATACCCCTTGAACTTTTCCATATTTTGTCACATTACAACCACAAACATAAATATATTTCACTGGAA